TGCATCGCAGCCTCTCTACCCACGCCATGTTTGCCCTATCTGCTGGCAGCAACCGAGCGGACAGCGTCAGGAAAGGCAGCGCAGCCAGCCTACAGGTGCATCGGAATGTCGGCGATGGTGCACTCATCATTGACGAGATCGGCATGAACAGCCTGGACCACCTGGGTGTGTGCAACCAGTCCTGCACTCGTCACCTGTTGCCGCCACCGCATCTCGCCAGCGACCACCCCGCCGCCACCATCTTCAGCGGCCGTCCTAGCGCCAACACGGGCGACGAGTTCCAGCACCCGAAGCCAGGTGGCCCGCCCCTCTACAAGTACGCCGCTGCTGTGGAATGCAACCCTCAGTTCTCGCCCTCTGTCCCAACCGCGCAACCTCTGCACGGAGAGGAGGACAACGATGACGACCCTAATGAGGCCGCCGCTGGATCTCAAGGCGGTCAGCAGCAACCCGAAGCAGCAGCACGCCGGCCCCTGGCCGTCCCACAGACGCAGAGCTGCATACTTGAGGGCTTCCAGGTTTACCGATCCCTGGCTAAGACGGTCTTCTTGCTGGAGAAGCAGCAGCGCCAGGACAGCAGCCCCTCTGGTCGTCGCCTGACAGAGTATGCCTCTATGTTTGGCGGTGAGCCAGCCACCGAGCAGCGCATAGCCGAGATGGTCGACGACCTTAACAGCCGCGCCATCGTCGACTTGGCCGACCTGGCACACCTCGAGCCGCGCGTCGTGCTGCAGAGGAACGAACCACGCCACACACTCAATACCCGGCTCATCATGCTGGAGGCACAGCGCAAGAATCAGCGCCTTGTGGTGTGGAATGCGGACCACGTCCCTGTCCAGAAGCGCGGTGCTGCTGCGGAACCGGCCCTGACACACGTGGAGAAAGCAGTTGCAATGCGGATCAAGGATCACGAGTTTGGCCACACCACCGCCGACACGTGGTACTACCATGGCGCCCGATACATCCTCCTTGATATGACAGCTGCCGATGCCGGAGCGAGCCACAACAACGAGGTGGAAGCCTGCGGCCTGCTTGAGGATGGCCACGAGCCAGCCGATGACGGCCGTGGCCCCTACCGCCGGCTCAAGTACCTTCCGGCGGCCGTCATTGTGCGGCCTATAAGCGGCCACATCCCCGGCACCGTGCTGCAGGGCCTTGGAGACTACGCCAGCAGGGGTGGTGCCTTCATCCTGTCACCCCGGGCGTCTTGCATTGCCGAGGTGGAGATGCCTGCCGCCGGGTACGGCACCATCACAAAGCAGATCCGGCGCCTGAACGTGCCGCTCGGCGACCGCCAGGCGGTCACCGATTACTTCGTGCAAGGCCGCAGCTTCAAAGACGAGTGCTGGCTGGTGGATCTCGCTGTCCCACCCAACGGCATCAAGCGCGCCACCCTGTATGTGCTGCTGACCCGCTTCAAGATGCTGGACCACGTCCGTCTGCTCCG